AAAAAAAAAAAAAAAAAAAAACCAGTATAAGTACTTCTGTTATAGACAAAGGTAAGATGGATGCACAGATAACCAATACACAAAACAGACCATGGCACTGATGTTCAGACGGCATATGCCGGGGGTCAGAGGCCCCAGGAATACCCAGTGCCAGGAGGGAGCTTGGGGAGTTGCCAAGGGGGGATTTCCTAGGGGAGCAGCACTGGGGACTCTCACCTGGGCGGGGGAAGGTTTGGACAGGGCAGGAAAGGTCATCCCACACCCTCCACATCACACCTTAGCCATCCCAGAAGGGTGGCAGAATGTCCTACTTTAAACACCTTCCCCAGGCCTACTGAGTGACCTCCTTTAGAAAGAAATGTTCTAAGATTTGAAAATCAATTTGGTTAACAAAGTGCAGAGTGACCTTTTGGAAAGCAGAGCGCTTGTCGGCCTGTTTAGCATTCTGTTCTGCCAGGTGGGAAGTCAGCCTGTTCCTGGGATCTTTGCACTCAGGGTTAGGAGAGGTGAGACTCTGTACAGAAAGTGCTGGTTGGTGCGAGAACCCGTTGTACTGCCTAAGAATCTGCAGTTCGCTCCTTTCCCCACCGTCTTCTCTCGTGCCTGGGAGAAAAGACAGAGCCTGTATGAAAATGTGGGTACCTGTATTTCACCCTAAGACAAGTCCGGGGTGAGCTGAGAGAGGTGCTGGTGACTTGTACATAGCCTGTGGTTTTTCCATGGAAGACTTTTGCTTTTCTGATTGTAGGAACTCTTCATTTTTGACTCTGCCGGCAAGGAGCTGTTTTCGGAAATGCTGGATAAATTGGCAAGTAACACGTGGTCTTTTTCCTGACCACTACCACCTCCTGCCAAAACGTTTGCCCCTGAGAGTGCTCACACAGCAATTTCACTGCACTGTGCTGTCACGAAGTTCCCATGGCAAAATTCTTTAAGGAGCATTCCTCCCAGCCCGGGACTCGTGGCTACTTGGCAAGAAGGGAATGGCTGATGTGTGTGACTGCCCGGGCCGTAGCTCTGGGGTGGCCAGGAGCCAACAGGCGAAGAGCCCTGCGGCTCGGTCCTTGCAGCCCTCCCCCTGTGGGACCTCCCTTCTTTTGAGCAACCCCCTCCTGATGGTGCCCTTGCAGATGGTGTCCCCTACCTCCCAGGACAGTACCAACTGCCTCCTGCCCCTCTGGGGAGTGCCGTAGAGCCCTTAGCCTATGATGAGGCTCACTTTCTTGGCCACCCCCGGAGCGGGGACCGGGACTTCCACAGGGCCGTTCCACTGGGGTTTGCTGCGGGACATGCCCCCGCTGCCGCCCAGGGCTCACCATGCGCCGCTCACCCCTGTCCTGCCAGCCCCGCGGGATCCGCTCGCTCTACCTTCGGTGGTAACAGTCTCCACTGATCTGGGCCAGTGAGCTAATTAGAGGGTTTGAGTTCTCCAGAGCCCTCCCCTGCCTTTCCAAGAACAGCCACATTTTAATGGAAACTTTTCTGCCCCCTTTTCTTTGCCGTCTAAGAGAAGCAGATCTAATGACAGTGATTTCATGCAGGGTGGCTTCATGCACTGGTTCGTGATGTTTACCCCAATTGCCTACCATGTGCGTGGCCTGGCACTGGGCTGCCATGCCTGGCAGAAAGGACAATGTATTTGGGCAAATCCGGGCCATGTGAGCCATCGGCTCACACCCTCCCTCCAGCTGGCCCTGACTCCTGGCTCACCTGCTCTGGCTTTTGCTTGATGCCAGACCTCTCCAGGACCCCCTTCACCGAAGCCTGGATGAAGGAGGGTTTCCTGAGTTAAAACCATGCTGAGGTGTCTCCTGCTTGCATGTAGCAGAGCTCAGTGTTCTAGCAGAAGTTCAAGACTGAATCTGTGGAATGAAAGGTTCATCAGTGTAGTGTACGGTCCTCCCATCCCAGACACTGCCAGGAGCCAGCACAGCCTTGTAGGATGAGGAGGAGCCCTCCAGAGTGGACTCTGGGCTGGCCTTCCAAGGATTCGAAAGGGAATCCAATCTGTAGGGAAAGGGATTCTCCTCTGTCCCCTGGGAGGTTACTGACACCCCAGAAATAAACCAAATCCTAATGGTGCAAGGTCGGGGGATCCAGAAACCAGGGCATGACCAAGAGTCACGAGCACCAGGGCGCACACCCACAGCCTGTACAGGGCCATCCTATGTCCAGGAGCAGGACGTCCTGGGACTCTGAGCAGCCCCTGAAGGCGACAACTCCTGAGAGTGTGGCCTTGGCTCTTAATTGGGTCATGGAGCCCTGTCCACTTGTCAGTGTGGTTTGCATTAGGCTGATGCAGACGTGGCAGGAGAAGCAGAAAGTGCCCTCTGCATTTTAAACAGCCAGCCCTTATTAAGAAGATGCAAGCAAACAGCTTCCAAGGCTGGCTGATGAAGAAAGAATCTACTTTCAGGGCTGCAAAGCACAAACATGTAACTTACATGGTGGTGGGCTCTCAATCAGAATGAGCGGGAGAATGAATGAATGAATGAATGAATGAGGCTGGCAGCAGGTGAAAGCAGATTTCTGGGTAGAGAAGAACTCCCCTGTCCCCCATCTCTGTCATCGGTGTCGTTTTTAAAGCCGCTCTGGCCTGGACAAGTCATTTACCCTCCCTGGATTGGGTTTCTTCAGCTACAAAGTGGGAATATTCAGGCTGACTCTGCCGAGTTGGGAGGTTTCACAGTGATGCACAGAAGTGCCCAGCAGAGCCTGGCCCAGACATGAGCTGTCGTCCTCCACGGCACCGCCCCTGCCTCCTGCCACCGAACATGGCCCTCCCATTCATTCCTGTGGGGGAATTGTTTGACTTCTGTGGGTGTGGCTGTTTTCTGACTCCCATCCCCTTTATAGTTTTTCATTTCCCTCTGCCCCCCGTATCCTTTCCCTTGGAAGGCCAGATTATCTCCCAGCCCTGAAGTCGCTTTTTCTGTTACTGACACATGCCCATCCTGTCCCTCTTGCACAGTGGGAGAGTCCCAACCTCTTATGTCTCGTCTATGATGTGACCAATGAACAGTCCTTCAACAACTGCAGCAAGTGGCTGGAGAAGGCTCGGTCACAGGTTCCAGGCATCTGTCTCCCAGGTGGGAGCTGCAGACACCCATGTTTCCCACCAGCCTCTCTGTCCTTCGGTTCAAGAACACTAGGGCATTGCAGAGGTAGCTGTGGGTGGAGAAGGGACCCTGGGCTTTGACTCTGATGGCCGAGGGCATACACTGGCCCTGCTGCTTAGCAGCCATGCCAGCCATGGTGAGTTTCCACACCTCTCCCAGTCCAGGAAATGGGAATGAGGACACCACCTTGAAGGGCTCTGGGGAGACTCAGTCAGGGGAGGGTGCTGTCATATCAGTTGTTAATTCCAGAAAGCTAACCCCAGGGAAGAGTTCCTCATTGTCTCTTGTATGTGGGGTACAAGTAAACATTCAGGTCCCGTTGTCACTTCTGAATGCTTTAAATCAGTTTATTTTCCATCCCTATGTGAGATCAACAAATTCTCCTCATTATAGACTGGGAAAGTGATCTCCAGAGACAGGCTAAAAAATTAGCTGCAGCTGATGCAGCTGGGAGCTGAACTAAATTACCTCTGAATCCCTGACTCTGAGTCGGGTCCTTAGATTAGTATTAATGACTAATTTACAGTTTGCTGCATGCGCTAGGAATTATTACAAAGGCGCACATCAATTTGGCCCTCGCCTTCACGCCTTTGCAGCCTTTTGAGGAGGCAAGGGAGACAGATACACATGAGGTCTAGAAAAAGAGACCTGGCAGAAGCTGTGCATGAAAAGCAAAGCCCACTGGTCTTTTTGGGGCCAGCACGAGAGACCCCCAGCTTTCCCTGTGGGGATCACCACCATAGTCAGGCGGCTGTCAGGACGGTTTCCACCCCTCAAAAATAGTGCTCGTATCTCTCCTCTCACTGTCCTTCCAGCCTGTAACAGTAAAGTGCCATATTTTGGTTGCTTCTTTTGAGTAGGTGTTCTAGTTGGGAACAAGACAGACCTGGCCGGCAGACGAGCAGTGGACTCCGCCGAGGCCCGGGCGTGGGCGCTGGGCCAGGGCTTGGAATGTTTTGAAACATCCGTGGTGAGTAGCTCCGCTTGCCTTGTAGCCAAGTCTGGAGTGGGCCTCTGCTGGCAGCGGTCTTTCCCATGACCTCACGTGCAGGGAGCTGTTATTCCACCATATGCAGAGTCTCATTTGGAAGTGATGTTTACATTCTTAGCCTAGGATCTTTTCTCAATATAGCAGTAGCCACTCAGACATAGCACTAAGGCAGATGAGCTAGCCAACCCTGGGAAAAGTTGGATCTCACCTAGTAAGAAATACAAGTGTGCTGCATGTGGTGGGCATGACCCTTGACGCTTCCACGTGATATTATGGGCTTAGATGTTGGAACATTGTTTCATGTGGCCTCAGAATCAGTCCTGTGAGCCAGAAGTTGGCCCCACAGTTTCCATTCCCATGTTGAAGAGCTCGATGTGTCCAAAGTCACATGATTAGTGAAGGGCGGAGCCAGGACTAGGACTAATGGTCTCTAATTCCCATCGGTGCGGCCCCAGGGTGACTCCAGGCCACAAAGAGCAGAAGACCTTGTTAAGGAGAAAAAGCAAGTTATGTGTTACCAGCATCTTCAGTACACTTTTAATGGCAAAAACCTCAATTCCTTTTGCACCAGGCTAATATATGCTGATTTTATCTGTCCAGCACCTAGGAACCTGCTTCCTCTGTTTGGGAGTTTTAAAGTCCCAGCCTCCCTGAAGCCAAGACGCAGGCATGTGACCCAGGCCGCACCAATCAGACATGTCACATGAGACTCCACTAGGAAGGGCATAAAGTGGTGATCTGTCCTGCAGGGGCAGGAGTGGCCGCGAACATCCATCTCAGAGCCAGCAGGGGCCCAGGTGTGGGTCACAGGGCCCTGCGCCAGGGTTGCTAGCTGGGCAGACCACCCAGGCCTGGCACAGGCATGGTCATAACTTGGACCTCACCTTGTGGCCTTTAGACCTGATTCTGTGGCCCTCAAAAGAACCATGGGCTGGTTAATATTCTGGAGGTCATCTTCTGCTCAAACTAGACCTTGGCTCTAGGCACTTCTGCTGTTGCTCCTAAGAACCTTCACCAGTGCTGCTGTGTGGGAAGCAGCAAAAGTATCAAAGGAAAACTAGTAGAAAAAGTTTCAGAATATAGTCTCAAACCCTTCTGGAAGGCCTAAAAGTTTTTTTATACTTTCGGTAAAAGTTTCGTCTAAAAGCAGCCCAAATCCCCTTACATTTAGTTAGCAAGTAAAGCAGATGGCTAAAGTATGTAAAAGAGCTGACCTAACTTGTTTACTCATGTAATCTTAAAACTAACCTTTAAGCCAAACAGCCCTCTCAGAAGGAAGTTAACTTTCTCTACTGGTATGTTAACTCAAACCTCCGTCAATTAAACTTTCATCAATAAGTGCAAGTCTCACTAGCTGAGAACGGCCAGCAGTTGCAGCTGTTTACAGAACTCTCCAGAATGCCTGTAGGCCACCAGGACCCTCAGGCGAACTAGCAAGCATCGTGTCTGTGTGTCAGTGTGCTTGATTCAACCAGTGCTGAGTCAGAGTCTACAAGACAGACCCCCACAAGTAATAACCCCAACGCTGCTGTCCGAGCTTGTAAAAACCCCCAAAGCACGATGCTTCCTTAGGAAAAGCACAGTGCTAAAGGCGGGCGCCCTGACCTCCCATTTTGAGGAGCAGAACTAGCTGTGGGTTCCTGGATGTGTTATTTAACCTACTGGTGCCTCAGGCTTGTAAAATGAGGGTAATCAAATACATCCCTTCTCCTAAATATGAGAACCAGGTAGTACGGTGCACGTGAAACACGGGTCACAAAGTCTGGTGCCTGGTTAACACGCAGATGTCAGCCTTCTTCAGGTATAAACATTGCCCCTAGTAATCTTGTTTAGACTGTTATTACTAAATCCTTGTATTCCTGGCTCGTGCAGAGTTAATATCACCCTTGCCTCTGGTGCAATTTATCACAAATGCTAAATTAATGAAGCTTCAATCAGTGAGCTTTTCCTGTATAGAGGGTTCCTCATCTTTTCTGCAGCTCACCTTGGCGCAAAGCAGTAAGTGGAAGTGCCCCTAGCAAACAGGATTTCAGTATTCCCCCTTCCTCCATTCGTTTGTGAAATTGTCCCCACACCCCAATATCCCACATCCCCTGGCACGCTTGATAGAACTCAGAAATTAAAACCCACCTCCACTTCCAAAACATGAGTCACCAAAGGCCAGTGGTCTCCGTGTTTAAACTCTGTTCAGGTGAAGTGGGCGGGTGTAAATTATTCTTGAAGAGGCTGCAGTAAGCATGTGCTATTATCTGTGCAAGTTAACGAGTCCCGCCTGAGTTGAGGCTCACAGAAGCACCACTGGCAGCTCGGTTAAGAAAGCTGTAATTAAAAAGGAAATATAACCAAATGCAGCCTGAGACACAGCCATGCCCATCTCCTCCTCTCTTCTGCCTAAACGCCACAGTGACCATCCTGCCAACCTAAAGGAGTTCCCTACACGGTTCTTTGACTTTCGAACACTCTTCAATATTTGAAAATTTCAGGCCAAAAAAAAAACAAAACCAAAAAGCATTTCTTCAAACAGAAGTTAAAATATTTAAAAATATTGTTCATCGCTCTAAGGAGTTGGACAAAATTAAATACAAACAAGTGCACAAACGATCCATGGCGATCACTGCCCTCCCAGCCAAGCAGGGAGTGGGAAGTAACGTTTGTTGAAGGCCTACTGTGTGCCGTTTTGCACACATTATTTCTTTAGGCTTCATAACAGTCCTACAAGGTAACACGCCTGTCCTTGTTATACAGATGACAGAGAGACTCGGAAAGGTTGTGTAGGTAGCTTTGCCCTGGTCGCAAAGTTAAACAAGAGCTAGAAACGGGACTAGAAGTCAGGCCTGTCCAGCTGGAAGACTTGCGTTTTCTAGGAGGGTTACCCTGGCCACCCTCAGAGCTTGCTTCGGGACTCTGCAGAACAGAATTCTGGGCCAGACTCAACGCCAGCCTGGACCTGCCCTGAGAATCCTTCACGCTAAACGGACCTCCTCCACAGGTGTGCCGACTCTGTAAGGGAGAGGGTGGTTAGCCATCAGACAAAAGGATTCCTGTCATTGGCAACCCTCTTAAAGTACTTGGAAAATAGTTCAATTTCCATCTATTTCAGAAGCACTCCATGGTGTCTATTGAGGCTCACCTGCATTGAATTCCTTCCATTTTCTGTTGAGTTCTCCCAAGCTTGCATTTTGGAGTGCTTTCGAACCCATTTAGAAATCCCCATGCGGGTGCTATGTAGGCCTCATTCTTTTTCCATTCGATTCTTACCTCTAATTTTGAAGGATGCAGTGTTCGACCCCGATATTGGCATTGCCTGGCACGTTATGCTCTGCGCAACCAGCGGTGCCGGCGGGAGGCACTGAATTCTTGCTCTGTGTCCACTGGAGGGTGACGGCCTTCAAGTCCTTGGCTGTTGGGAGCATACTGTCAGTGCCCGTCTTGTCCCCAAACTGTCCACTGTCTCCTCAGTGCTCTCAGCACTGCCACCTCTCTTCCTCTTGGCCAGCTGTTTTCCTTGCTTAGCTTTCCCTTGCTAGAAAGTCCAGGTGACCTTCTCCATGGGACCTGGTTTCCTCTGCACATTTTTCTTATCCCAGCTGGCCTCGAGAAAAGGCAGCTCTTCCCAAATTGGAGAATCTGGATGTTGGGCTGGGCCCTGCACCAACCCACTGGGCCCCACGCTACTCATCTGTGACGCGGAGGCACTGAGCTTGACGCCTTCTGCAACGGTCTTCGGTTTGGAAACCCTTCTGTTTCATTGGGGATATTTCTCGGCCTCTTCTCAAGGTTGCATTTTTGCCAGCTGCCCGGGAACGTTTCAAAACAGGTCCTTAGTGCATTCATAGCTGGAGCTGCTGTCTTGAAAGTAGTACATTCCTTTTTCTGCCAACTTTTTCTCAAAGAAAAGTTTGGTTTTTTTTACTGCACCCAGGCACCCACAGAGCGAGAGCGGCTGAGAGGGCGCTGTTTCCTTCCCCTCCAGCCTGTCCCCTCATACCCCGGAGGCGCCCATTTTTTTCCTCCCCCAAGATAAAATCCAGCGCAGGTTCCTCAACTTCTCTTTTCTCTCTCAGATAACAGAAATTCTTTGGGGCTCCTTTAGTCACAAAAATATTCATTATTTCAGTTATTAAAGTGCCCCGCCCTGGATGACTGTCAAAATTCTGAACTTGATTTAAAGCCGCACCTGCTCTCACAGGCTTCGGGAGGGAGACTGGAGCAAGCAGCGTGGTGTGTTTATTGGGGTCTGTCATGGCCCACTCCATACCTGCCGGGTGGGTCCAGCTGGTGCCTCGTGGGCACCTCTGAGATGCCCCTCTCCCCATCAGTGGCACCGTGTCACCTGCATGCTGCTTCTCACAGGTGGTTTCCCTCCACCCCTCCTGCAGCCTCAGTTCCGGGCTGTTTGTTCTTATTGGGACCCATCACCCTCCCAGAGGTGGTCCCAGCTGAGCCCCTTAAGAAAGCTCCAGCTGGCCCCACTTGGCCCCGCTGGTCCAGGGAAGTACAGCTGTGGCTGTTTAGTTTGATGGGGGAGGTGGCGAGGCCGTCCCACTGGCAGCCAGCCGCAGCCTCACCTGGATTTCTCCCAAGGCCGGTCCAGCACCAGCCTGGGAAGAGGGTGCCCCCTGCTGTCTAGCTCTTCTTCGGGACGAGGGGCTCCTGATCGTCTGGTATTTTGCTTTGGCCTTTGGAGCCTCAGTGAAAACTAAGTGAGAAAGGTCTCATGTTCACATCTCATCACACGTACAGTGATTCCAACTAAAAGCACAGGCTCTGTAGACACAGATGCGGGTTCAGGCCCCAGCTCCGCCATTCACAAGGGTTGTGGTTTCCTGCAAGGTACCTTCATCTCTGAGTCTCCTGAATCCATCTGAGTTTCCTTCTTGTAAAATTGGCATCATGAGAGTGGCTACCCCAACAGGTGTGAAGATGAAATGAGGCGGAAAGTGGGTAGCCCCTGAATGAGGGAAGCACGGAGTGAGTGC